TGCTGTAACTAATTTTCTAAGATAAAAAAGTGCATTTTTAGATTATCCGTGAGTAGTTATAGCTTTTTCTAACTTCCTACTTCTTGTTGTGAACTTCTTTCTACTTTTCATTGTGAACTCTTAATTTTTATATACATAAACAAACTGTTATTTTATTTTTAATGAAAAAGTATTTTCAGTTTTTCCAATACTTTAATAGCATGCTTATAATATTTATTTTCAATCTTATTTTGGTTTTTAGTTTAGTTATTGATGTAATTTATTAACATTTTACATGCTGCACTATGATCCAAAAATGAAAGTTACAACCAAGTCATCAAATTCACATTAGAATACACCCATAAAGACTATAAAACAAAAAAAAAAAAATTCTGTCTATGATTTCTTGGATGTTCTATTTTTGGAACATTGGCATGTGATGCTGTCTTTTCTCTTCCCCCCCCTTCATGGAAACAAAGCATTGTATGATGAATCATTTAAAATTTTATGCTTTAATAATGGTTTATTGAACAATTTAATGTGAAATTAGTAAAATTTAAATAAAACTCATTTAAAAAATTCACATAATATTTAATTAGCATACTATTTTGAAGAAATGCAATGCAAAAGTGTAAAGAAACAATAAAAACAAATTTACACTTAAACACAAGCTTGACTAACAACATACATAATATGAATAAGTGCGATTTTAAAAATGAAAATACCTTACCAATAAAAAATAAAATATTTTATCATTCAGATGACATGTTCGATTTCAATCAGTAGCACAAAAAATGTAAAACACTAATTTTTTGTAATCCTTTTTAGCAGTTTCTCAGTATGCCTGATATTTCAAGAAGCAATATATATTGAGCATTTTTTTGCATTCAAAATACATATTTCTAGTGGGGGTTTTTATGGCACACTACACAACACCCTTGTGATGATGTAACGATATAATGTGCATCTGATTTTCTTGCAGATGTCGACTGATGGGCATGGGATCCAGGTATAATGGGAATTTTATGTTTCGCCTCGAAGCAAATTCAAAGTAATTTCTCTTATAAAATTAACATGAGTCATTTCTAATGTGGTCTTTTTTGTGTAAATCAGTGTGTAAGATCCACCCAGCAGCCACAACCGTATTCAGTACATTGATTAGTTCCAGTACCATTTTTGACTGTGAAATTTTGGTCGATAACTCCAAGAAGTCAGTCCAGCAGGTCTACTTCACCTATTCCTTCATTATATAATTTTATAATGTAAGGTTGGAGAGCATCAACCTTCTTTTTTTTAAGCTCGGACACATCTTTTTTCTTTTCCTAGTGGTTCATGAGTGATAAAATTTGATGCAATAGTTACAACAGAATTGTTTTCCCAACGGCACATATAAACTTCTCCATCGCATTGGTAATCAAATTCTCCATGATGAAATTTCAACATCTCTTTTGCTGTTCTGCTCTTTGCATCTCTTTTACTCGTACTGTGCAAATTGCCTTAAAGCCTCTGTTATACAAATCTGTCAGCAGACTGTGCGATGAAAAAAATTTATCGAAAAATACTTTGTGTTTCTGTGGATTGTAAATAAAAGATAATTGTTCAGAGAAAACTTGTGATCCAAGCGGCAAATTTTCATTTTTCGAACTTTTCAAAAGACCTAATATAAACAATGAAGCAGATATGATCATTTCTAACAAAAGAAACAAGCAGATATCAGAGCTTAAAACAGCGAAATACAGCTGAAACCAATTACCACCACCCCTTGGTGAGAGAGGTCATACCCCCTTCCAGTCCCTGCCCCCTCATTTCTACAGAAATAAATGTCACACCATTAATGCGTCTAAAAAAAGGCATGTTAACGAGATTATGAGCGCTGAAGGTATTTAAAATCTAATAAAGAAAAATATATGTGTGATATCACTGTCTATGTATATCGTTACATGCCAATGTTCCTTTTTTTGGAACATTGCAATTTTGCAATTTTAGTATTTGTTGTTATTATCTGAATTTCTTTTAACTCATTAAAGTTGTCCTTTGCAAGTACAATGGGAAATGATTGGGTGGATTGGAATTTTATAGAATTTTTTCCTGAAGTGCTGTAAAAATCGTAAAAAAAAAGTCAATTTTTAGAAATTTTCGATGCTGAAATATTTATATTTGAAAAAAAATTATGTCAAAAAATCAGTCATACTTTCTATAATAAACGGTAATATTTTTCAAATTGACAGATATGATAGTTTATTTTTTAAAAAATATTAAACATTATGTTCCAAAAAAGTAACATTGGCATTTAAAAGGTTAAGTAGTTAATCCATTGAACTTAATAATATATAAATTTTTAGTTTTTCTACACTCATTTTCAAGTTAATCAACGAATGGATATTAAAACTTTCTGTATATTTTGTGCATCTGGATTTATTGTAATATTTCTTAAGTATGGTTCTTCTATCTCTTTTATTAACCAATGAGCCTGTTTTATTTCCAAGTGTTCTTGATTGAAGTTCCTTCTTTTTTATCATCTGCCCTTTTATTCACTTTTTTTAGTTGTTTATTAAATATTTTCTACTGTAGTTTGCTGATTACTACCTTGCAATGATTCTGTTTGTAAGCTTATTTGTCACTTTGCTTTTATTTCCATTATTTTAGCATATTTATATACAGACGCTACTTTATTTCTCTATATGTAATTAGTTTTTATAAAGTACCCATGGAATGGGAAAGGAAGCATAGTTGATTGGGGTTAAAAACCAACATTAACATACTAAAACATAACGGACAGTTTTGTTGATTTAAAAAATTATAATAAGAAACCAGCTTTTATTACTGTTTCATAAATCATCCTGGATTAAATATAGCAAAATATTTCTTCATTCAGAGTGGTCTTTTTATCTTATTATATTGTTTTTAATTGCCTTCCTTTACACTCGTTAATTTTCCTACATCAATTCATTGGTATAATAAATTTTTACTATACAAAATTAGAATACAGGAAATTTTATTAATACCCTACTATGTATATATGGTACCTCTTTTATTTCCTTTTACAGCTATAACAACACTGCCTTCTTAAATTGTCCTTAAAAACAAAAAAAAAGCAGAAAATTTAAAGTTCTACTTATTCAGATAATTAGACTGTTTAAAATCAAACCTTTGAAAACAAGAACAAGAATAGCGTATATTGTCATTATATTTTTTAATAATTTTCCAGCTTCTCCTATTTTTCATCAAGATTTTAAAAGAATAAAGTTTGTCATGTATAAAAATATTGCCTTTTATTTTGGAGAAATTTGCTCAGAGTTATGTATCTGATATAATTTTTTTCTCTTTTATGCAAAAATTAGAATTAATAACAAATTTTGACATTTTTCTATCTCTGTTTCTTTTTCATATTTTATAAAATCTAAGAAGTATTTGTTTTTGTGGAAAACAGAGAGAATTTATGTGTAAAATATTGAATTGTATTGATGTTTGCAATAAAAGTGTGTTTATGGTGAGCAGGGATGGTGATAGGCTTTTTGCTACTTGGTTCAGTCTCTACAATTCCCAAATTCTGGCACCCAGTGCATCCAAGTTTAAAATAATTTGCTGTATGGTACAGCCACCATTGGCTCAGCCAATCCTGATGATCAGATGTCATTAATGCATACAAATCTGAAGCTGTTCACAGAAAAAAGAAAGCTTCAAACAAATTTATTATAACAAATGCGATCATCATCTTTTATCTTCATTTCTGTGAAAATCTCGGATGCATAAAAAAATGTCCTTCTTTAGGGAGAGATACCCTCATATGCTCTGACTTAGTAAGATGTAAGTACTAACTTTTACCAGAAAAATAAAACTAGAATTATTAGCAAGCCCTTTTTTATGATAAATGAGTCATATGTATTAAAACATAAATATTTTTTAGATAAATTAATTGGAGAGGGAATCAACCATATAATAAAGTCATATGTATTTAAACTTTAATATTTTTTAAGTAAATTAATTGGAGACAGAATTAACCATAAAATAAACATACTGAAAGATTCCTTATGAAAAACCATATACAAAAGTGCCCGACCCCTTTTTATTGAACTTTGCCTTCCAGAAGTACATATGATGAAAATAAAAAAACACTTCCAGTAATGCAAGTTCTTGATAAAGAACATCATAAATAATTGTATAGACATATATATCATAAAATAGATCTCACAGAATTTCCGCTGTCAGTTCTTATACTCTTTGTAATACATCAGTTGTGTGCACCATTCAGCCTTAGAGCCAAGCAGCCAGATGAAGCCTAGGGTATTCTCGAACTGATTATATATTCTCATTGCGCCTCTGATGTAGTATAATGAAAATTTCAGAAAATAGCATGCAATCTTCCTTTCTCCCCCCCCCCCTCTCTCTCTCTCTCTTTTTTTTTTTTTTTTTTTAAATAACAGTGTTTGATTTTCAAAACCACTATAAACTTTGTTGTAATATCTTCTTGGACTGAGATCTATTTATATTATTAAAATGACATATTGAACAGAATGTTGTGCCTGTATGTTTGGGTGCTGTATCATTCACCTTATTATTATTTTAAAAAATCTATGTTTCTATTCTTATATGATTAATATTTTGTGTTTCTTCAACAGCTATCAGTCATCAAAATGCTTAATACTGTAGATCTCTCCTAACAAGTACATGAAATAGACAATAGTGTTGTCTATTGTATCTGAAAAATAAGATTTGTATATTAAAAATTGAAAAACTTCATTCTTTTAAAATCTTAATGAAAAATAGGAGAAGCTGGAAAATTATTTAAAAATATGATGACAATATACGCTATTCTTGTTCTTGTTTTCAAAGGTTTGATTTTAATGGGTCTAATTATCTGAATAAGTAGAACTTTAAATTTTCTGCCTTGCCTCTCAAGGCAGTGTTGTTATAGCTGTAAAAGAAAATAAAAGAGGTACCATGTATATATAGTAGGGGTATTAATGAAATTCCCTGTATTGTAATTTTAAAGCTATATTTTTTTTTTTCTCTCCTTACAGTTGCAGATGGAAATGTTGGCAGTGTGTCATATCCTGGAAACTACGTTTTACTTCTTGAACCAAAATTTCAGGTAATTACGTTTAATAAATTTGTAAATATTTGGTCAGAATAGGAGCTTATGTGTATTGGATTCTATTTATTTTTTAAAGGGAAATTATATTGATAATGCGATTAATAAATAATAATATTGAATGAAAATTAAATTGTTTTTTGTGACCTTTTTTCCTTCTACAGTTATATGTAATGTCAGATTTTACTGAAAACTAAAAGCTAACTTTTCATACTTTTGAAAGTAGTATTTCAAATCAATCAAAAAATTTGAGTCGTGATTTATTTGTATGCTATAAGTAGTTTAAATTACCCCTGCATGAAAATCATATGTTTCATTAAGCTGGAAATTCAGAGCAAACTGATGCTACGACATTTTAGAATTAAATCTTTTCCATCCTTGACAAGCAGTAGGGGGCGCGAAATCTTCAGTTGTCCCTGGGCACTGAAAACCCTAGCTACGACTCTGACTTTTACCAGTACTTCAGTTCATCCATGCATCAGGACTGCCATGCTACCAGAAAAAGGCAGGGAATTTAAATATTTTAGTCAAAATCTGGGAAAGTCAGGGAATTTCATACAGCAATCCCCAAAAATGTAAGTTTTGTGCCAACACTAGAAATGATCACTTTCTTGGCGAATTATGCTTCGCTTGGGAATCATTTAAGCAGCTGGCGTAGAGCCAATTTTTGCAGTTCCAATCAGATTGTCTTTTAGATAACCAAAGCAAGTTGTCAGTAGCTTTGGTTTCCAGTAATCTCAAAAACCGCATGTGCATTGCATGTTGAACGAAAAAAAATACCTTCCATTTCCCGTTTAAAACAAAATCATTTTAATCCTAGTAACGGTACACATAGGATTTGGCGCCATTATGGTCATTTTGACGTTGGCGACAGTTTTCAAAATCGTGCGAAGGCCGTAGCATATATTGAGATTTTACAGCAAATTTTTAAACCTCCTCTCTCCCCTTAATAAATGCTTTATTTGTCATTTTGCAGTAAAATTTTAAAAAAATAGTAATCAATCAATATAACTATATTCACCAAAAAATCATTCATTTTTGCAATTTAATTTTTAAGTAATTAACTTTATTTTAATATTCATATCATTTACTGTTTGCTTCTTCCCTCTAAATTTATTTATTATTAGTTAATACATTCAAATTTAGGCAATTTTCTCTGGCAAAATCTTGAAACTAATTCTAGCAGTATGATAGCATACCATCACAAAATTTAATGCACATATTTTTGCTTATGTATGCTGCTAATAAATATGAAATACCTTAATTTATTTTAAAATATAATTAAATAGTTTTCTTTCTTTCGTTTAGTTGCAAAATGTCTGCAAAAAAGAAAATTTTTTAATCCTGATTGGGCAGATTCTAATCTCGAACTTCAGAGGAGAAAACAACTCCTATTACAGTTATAATAGTAATGCTTTGGGGATTATATATAATGTATATAATCATATGCAATTAACAAATTTTTGTGTTTTCAATTAATTTACCTCTCAGAACAGCCAATGCGCACTGCGCAGATAGACTGGGATTTTTTTTAAACACACCTGGAAAAGTCAGGGAATTTCATTCTCCTGTTTGAGTGGCAACCCTGATGCATCTACAGAGGGTGTTTGTATAGTTTTAGAATGGTATCACTAATAAATTTTAAAAAGGCAAATGTTTTGAAATAAAAATTTTTGGCAACAGCTTATTATTTGAAATGAGAAATAGTGTCTCCCACTTCTTAAATGTATTCTTCTTTCAAAATGCATGTAAATAAGCTATGGATTGAAGGATGTTTTTTGCACTTTCCAAAGAGAAGCATTCCTATAACATAATTGAAAAGCTTCATGAAATACACGGTATTAAAATTTCAAGGTGCAAAATAAGTGTCATTATTTATCAAAAAAGGAGAAACCATAAATCATTAATTAAGACACAATAGCACGCCGAACAAATACTAATTCAGAAGTCAAACAACAAAAATCAGCATTATATTATCAAATTTGTACAAAACTAGTGGTTTGGTAAAACCATCAAAACTAGTCCTGTGAAAATTTGAAAATATAATACTGATTTTTGTTGTTTGACTTCTGAATTAGCATCAATCGTTACTTTGAAATGGAAAGAAGACTCCAAACGCATACCCAAAAAAGATGCATATTGTTTCAAATATTTTTAAAGTTAAACCATTTGTAAGAAGGGAAAATATGGCAATTCAGAAAATAAGCTCAGATTCTTTAAATACATCTATAGAAACAATAAATAAAATAATAAACAAAGATGTACAACTTAAAAAATCTAAAAAACATAATGTTCACCAGCCTTTGCTGAGCATGTAGGTCAACACAGAATTATTTCTAAAATCCTGTATGAGAAAACTATTTACCAGGAGATAAATGAAAATGCGACCCTTGATGAAGCGTGAAAATGACTGAAATAAAAAAAAGGGTATTAGTATCGAAGACCAAGAGAGGGAAAAAAAGTGTACAAACATGTTTTCTTCAGCGCAAGGGTAGCCTCAGTAAAGGGTATGATTGTCACAGGAATTTCTTATGATGTGAAGTTAAAAATAAGAAAAGTGGAAGAAAATGTTAAAATCAGCTCAACATACTATCAAAAGAAAGTTTTGCATCTGATATTTACAGAAGAAATTCTGTTTCTTTATCCCAATGATTTTCAGAGAATGAAACCTAGTGAAGACAAAGCTACAAAGTCATACTTCAAAAAGTGCCACTGCATTCCTTGAAAAAATTAAGACTGATATAGATAATGTATTCCTATGAAGTTCCTTGACATTTCATTGACAGAATATTTTGCATCGCTAAATCCAACTTTAAAAAAAAAAAAAAAAAAAATAATCATTAAAATTATTTTTATCAATTGGTTTTATTTTTTCTGTATTGGTATCTAACAGTAATATAATCATAAATACAAAATATCAAATGGTCTCTTGAAAAGAGCTGTTTCTACGCACATGCAAACCCACCACAGTTGATTGACTTTGGAAAGTACTGAAAGTGGAATGTCTTTTATATAAGTCAATATTCCTGGAAATTTACAAAAAACTTTTGTATCAAGGAAATCACTACACAGGCTTATAATCCAGTGAGGGAAGGCTATCAGATCAAACGTTAAAAAAAAATACTCTTTACATTTTAAATATTAATCAAACAGCCCCAAAATCGTTCCAAAAATTTTTAAACACTCTCTGTATTTGAGTAATAAAAATCATTTTTTATTACTACAGGTACATCATATATGATTGCATATTCCTTCAACTAATTTACAAATATTTAAAGCAGCATTTGAGCAAAAAAATGTGCCTTAAATACTGAAATGTTATTGAGCAAATGTTGTTATTTTTTCATACTTGTCACTTAGTTTAAAAAGAATATCACTGATAATTTAAAAAGCATCATATAAGTATAATGCATATTTCTAAATTTAATTAAACCTTTTATGTTTATTTTTACTGCATTAACATACTCACTCATAACTTCTATGTATCTTCTATGTATACAAGAAATTATGCAAAAAAAATTGTCTATTAAAGGAAGGTACTGTTCAATAGGAAAGAGGGGAAAAAAATTGGTATTTTTCCTTTTCGCCGGCGCAAATCTCGCCAAGCAGACTTGACAACACACCGTATACACATGAAAAATGTTGACAAATGTTAGTTCTAAGAATTTTTTGTTTTGAAGGTATAAACATTTTAATGCTTCAAATTTTGTAAAAAAGCCAATAAATTTGTAAAAAGACATTAATTTAAGAATTTACTGTGCTTTCATGGTACAACATCCTGATTCCCTGGATCATATCACATGACCCTAAGTGATCTCATCTCACATAAACTATGCTACAAAAATCTAATTCTCTCAATAATTATCTACATTAATTTCAAGTTAAATCTTAATTTGGAACACAAGTTTAAATGCAAGGATTATTTCAATTCGTGCGAATAGCTTACTCAGAATTTATCTAAAACTGCAGTGCTTTACTTCACTAGTGCATTCTCATTGGAATTGATGAATTTAACCCTTGGCTTTGCTTTTCTATATTTTCACCATTGGGTGAGCAGTGTAATTGCATCCTAATGGACTTAATTACCTCCTGTAAATGCCCTTAGGGCATAAAATTTAACTATCTGGTAAAAATTCTATGAATTGTATGCCAGTATTGAAAGAAACAATCAATCTGATAAGAAATGGCTGGGACTTGTTTTGAAAATGAGGAGTAAATGTTACCAGCAAGGATATTCCATTTGGCATTGGTTGTACCATTATTGGCGACTTTATCGCCTGTGCTGGCAAAACAGAAAAGTACCAAAAAATCTAACCCACTAATAAACGCCCTATGTATAGGCAACAAGTGCCTTATTGCAATAAATCATGAGAAAGTATCTTTCATGTAATTAAAATCCTTACAGACCTAATTTGTTATTTTGTTCACTGATGACAAAGTATATAATATGTTTTAAGAATTTATTAAACTTTTCTCATTTAATAAAGAGAATATTGCAATGTCTATTCTTTTAATTTATTTCATATTGTAGCCATTGCCTCCAGTGCAATGTCCAGAATCTATAGAAATCTATCAAAAGCACCTTAACCTTGCACGTGAATTGTTTCTGTGTAGGAATGAAGTAGCTCTGTTAACGGAAAGGAGGTAAAAATATTTTCTAATCTATCTATCTAATCTATTGCATTTTAAATTACAGAAAAGTATTCTAAATGGTTTTTAATATGACTTCTTAATTTTACATTTGTTATTCCATTTACTTAATATAATGTTATTCCATTTACTTTATGCACAAGCAATTATTTGAAATTTTTTACCTTTTTGAGGAAATAAAGGTCATAAAAACTTGTAGATAATCTTCGTATTTAAATGGAAAAATTTTAATTTTTTCCTGAATGTTTTAATTCTAAAGCATACAGTTATAAAACAACAATCAAAGGGAATTATTTTTTTTTAACCCCTTAATAACAGATATAGCATTTATGCATCAACAGTTAATCCTCTTACGCGATGGCGTGCCGCTTAGCGCAACTCACCTTGGAGATGGTGTGTTGTAGTAGTATGATCTCGCAAGACAGAATATTTCGTGTTGCTAAGCCTAACTTTAAAAAAAATTCAATAAATTTTTTTTTAATTCATTGATTTTTCTGTAATGGTATCTAACAGTAATATAATCATAAATACTGAATATCAAGAGATTCTGAACAAACTTTAATTAAAATTTAGATGCAAAATAAAATATTTGACTCGTCTTGATGAAATGGGTAAAAAACTTACTTGAATCAATATCTTAACATATGTAAAAAATAATAAAATATATGATCAAATATTATAGCATAAATTATTCAGAAAGGAGACAATGTGTGATAATCTAGTTGCTATCATTTCATTAGTTATGAAACACATTTTCAGTTCAAACTTTAATTCCATCCCTGCAGAATAATTAATTAATCCTAGGAATCCCCTCATTTTAGCCACATCTAGAGGAGTTTGTTGATTTTGGATGAAAATGGATTTTCACCCATCTTTTGTTTGTAGAAATTATTATATCTTCAGCTAGTATGTTCATTAGATTATCGGAAAAAAAGGTAAAAAAAGTCAATTTCATTTGCATAATTCTGAATTAAGTTTACTTCTGTGATTCCTGTAAATTCATAAAGCTTCAATTGCTGAACAGAATGAGTTCATGACGGAGTAGCTACTATTCTGTTGGATTGTGAGGTGAAAACAAAACAAACTTCCAGTTCAGCCTTTGAGAAAATTTGGTATTAAAATCGCTATTCTCACTTAAGTCTAGAGTTTTTGGTGTCAGAATAGTCACTCATAGGCTTTACAATTCAAATATACTCCTTCTTCTGTTAAAAACTTCTTTGTCCTGGATATTGCACTATTAGTCTTTTACCCAGTGCAAAACACTTACGTCTGCCATCTAAAGAAGATGCAAACTGAATACAAATCGGAGTTCCTAAAACCACAACTCCACTCTCAATCTTCCCATGGGGAGGTGGAATTGAAGCATCAAAAACTGTTCAATGTTTATATCATGCAAAGCCAACTGGGCATCAGCTTGGTTTTGTTTAATTTACATCATCTGCTCGTACATCTAAGTGAATCACCAGAATCAGAAAGTACTTCACCAATACAAGGTCAACGATGTATATGTTCATATTAGCTAACTGTAATGGACACGGAGTGCCATCTAGTGATTTTAAAAAATTCTAAAAGTGTGTGTTTGAAAGTGCATATATGCCGCATCCAACTGAAAGATCAATAAGCGTCGATGTACCAGTTGCATCCAGCTGCTAGTGACTGATGAGTATATGACACATCTATCTGCATAGGGTTCTTAGTTCAACAACATGCCGTCATGAAGGAGTTAAATCTAGTAATGCGAAAAATTTGCTTAAAGTCAGATTATTATTATTATTATTAATGTTATTGTTATTACTAATGCTTAAATTTAACCTGATAAAACAGCTGCTGAAGCCTAATGAGACTTAAGTGATATTGAGTAAGCTAGCTTATTAACCTAAAAGCTTTGCATATTTTCATTTTTCCAATGCTATTTTGAATATTTTTGTTCATAGCATTGTAAGGAAGTTCTTAAAAGTTTAAATAATAATTTTTTAATTTATCAGTATATTATTTCTTCTAATGTACCAATTTCAAACTATTGCTGTTCCCTACCCTAAAACTTTATTACATTTTTTTATTGTGTATTTATAGATTTTGTAATACATTTACTTGTGTTTTGCTTTTTTATTTTAATGTTATTCTTTTGGTATTTTTTCATGAAAACAAATAACTTTTATTCCCTTATCTTTGATGTTTAATAGGAATGAATTGAAAGCTCAGCTGCAAGACAGAGATTCTTCAAGCACTTATATTGATGAATACTTGCATTTGAAAACAGAAAAAGTAAGTATTCCTTCTTATTTTTTTTTATTATTATTTTTATTTAATTTTTGATTTGATGAAGCTGTTAGACTGTTATTGTGTTTTAAAAAAAATATTATTATTATTTTATGTAAGTATTTAAGGCTATATAGATGTTTAATAGGAAAAGATATCAGAAATTTAAGAATAGTTAATTAATAAATGATATTAACTAAGGCAAAGTATATAGAATTGATATCAGACTATGTAACAGGAAGGCACAAATTGAAAACAATTAAAGCAAAAACTAGGAAAACAAAACTGAAGGAAAGGTTAATTATGCAAATAAAATAATGTTAACTCTTAAAGGATGATTAATAATTATCATAAATAATAATTGAAAAGTACTTGGTCTTAGACCAAGTTGCTTCTAGACCTATTTTAAGATAATTGAATGAGATTATTAGATAATTGAAGAGATATTTATATAATATTTTTAAAAAATTTTAAGAAATTTCGGCACCTCGGCAGTCATTAAGATATAGCCTGCTCTGTGACTCAAAAGAAAATATGTAAATAATTTACAAGAAAAAAATAATAAATCAAAATTCATAAACAAGATAGGAAAATTTTTTATTTTAAACATTAATAATTTAGAATACAGTGCGGTAAAATGTACAAGTTGCTAGTAATAAGACGATTGGAATGAAAAATCGTGTAAATCAAAATTATAACTTAAACTAGCAATAGCCTTTTAATTTGAGTGTTTTCCCTTTCCATCCTGTGCATAACCATGATAATGCAACTAATTAGGAATTTAAAATTTCTGGAACCGAAAACTTGCTCCTGAACTAAACTTGCATGCTGAATAACTAGACACTTGGTTCCAGCACCTCGGCATAGTTAGACTACTACTTGCTTCTTCTCTCCATAACACAAAGCTATCAAAAGATGTAAATGTTTGAATCAGGCACAATTAGAGTGCCAAATGAATTGTGATTACAAATGTATATTTAATCTGCCAAATTTGCTGTTCATAATGGATCAACGTCTGTGCAATCAATAATTATGCTACATTGCATTTAGTTGTAAGGATCTCACATGTGCAGGTACATGAATGGAAAATTCATCTATGGAATTATAAAGCATGTTAATGACAAGGATTGAGGGTTTGTTATACTGCTAATTTTATGTTATTTTGCATCCATATGAAACATTGCTCTTGAACTCTATCTGGAAGTGAAAAAAATTCCTATCATTGTTCTCCTGCGGCTATATGAAAAATAATCCAACATGATGTCTATATTAAATGTGATGTAATGAGTTTTTCAAGGATGAATAATTGTTCCTGTGCAAAAATAAAAATGGTATTTTAACCATCAAGCCAGTTGTGATTTTTGCACCAGTCATCTTCTAAGCACCAGTCTGCTCAGCTGTGTCTAAAGAGTGTATTGTTTTCATCACCTGCTATTGTGTAGTGGTATCTTAAATTTAAATTAATAAACATAGGAATATATCTTTGTGAGTGGACTGTAATTCAGTTTTTATTCAGCGATTTCAACTTTAGAACACAACATAGCAAAAAGGCAAAGCATGAAAGTTACAGTTAGCATTTTGAAGAATGCAAAACAAAATACGAGCTGGCATGCGAACTGTGCGTTGCAAAATAAGATCTCACTGACAGGCAGACGATCTGGTGGCTAAAATATTCCGCCCGGCATTGAAACATCATTTCAAATCTAAATACCTTTTACAAAATAAAAATTGTCATAACAAAATTATGCATAAATTATGCAAAAATGTGTCATTAAAATATTAACAATAAACATAATATGAAATTATTAAATGAGACTAAATTGTTCTCAAAACAGATGCACAGAAGCCTTGATACAGTTTAGGAACTTAATTATATTTAAAGCAAAGTACAAAGTTATAATGCTGTATGAGAAAAAAACTTAAGCACTGAATAAACAAAACACTAAGTTTGTGAACTGGCCTTTTGAAAACTCCATTAGCAGTTTTGAGCTTCACGACACACACAATATTATCTGAGCTAGGAAAAACTTCTAGCACTCTTCCTAATTTCCATCCTAGCAGAGGTAAATTGTCCTCCTTTATGATAACTAAATCATTAATTTTTAAATTAGGTTGCTCTTTAAACCATTTTGAACGTCGTTACAAATTAGAAATGTATTCATTGGACCACCTTTTCCAAAAGCTTTGAAACATTTTCTCAACAAGCTTCCAGCATTGTAATATGGGAATTTTTTGATCATGTAAACTTTCTTCCGGTAAAGCAGTTAGTGGGGTACCAGTTAAGAAATGGTCTGGCGTAAGTGCAGAAAATTCTGATGGATCTTTAGACATTGGACACAAAAGTCGCGAATTTAAACAAGCTTCAATCTGAGCTAACAATCTCGTAAATTCTTGCTTTAGAAATTGTTCACCTACAGTTTGCTTGAGATGTAACTTTGTAGATTTGACTGCAGCTTCCCATAATCATCCAAAATGTGATGCAATGAGAGACTTAAATATTCACTTAATACCTTCAGTAGAGCAATATTTGTTAACCAATTTATTACTCTTTTCAATTCCTTATCTGCAGCAATTGCCACAGTCGCTATGCACTTCTATTGCTTTTCTTTTCTGAGATACAAAGCGCTTCAGAGCGGCACTAAACGATTCTGATGTTAGATTACCTACTAATTCAATATGTATAGCTCTTGTAGTAAAACACATGAATACACAAATGTAGCATTTCATTGGTTTTACTCCTCGAACTTGTTGGGCTTCACATGAAAGGACCCGGTGTAGTCAATTCCAACCTTAGAGAAAACCTTTGATGAAACGACTCTAGACAATGGTAAGTCAGACATTATCTGGGTAGATGTTTTAGCACATACACGATGACATTTCACACATTTCCAAACCTGTTGTCTTTTAACTGACCTAGTGTGGATTATCAAATATTATCTTCTAATCACTGATAGCAATAGCAGAGGGTCAGCATGAAGATGGAATTCATGGAAATGATTCACTATAATCTGGGTTATGTGATATTTCTTGAGCAACAAATTAGGATATTTTCTGTCCTACATGATGTTTCTGTCCTACTTAATCTTCCTCCGACGCATATAAGTCCATTCTTATCGATAAAGGGGTTCAAAGAAAGGATCTTACTATTTGAGTTTAACAGATAGTTCTCCTTCAGAAGATTATATTCATTCAAAAACTCGTCCCTTTGAACTACTCTAACAATTGCATTTCTAGCGTATTGCAATTTTTCGGTTTTAAGGTAACCCTTAATCCTTGTTGCTGTAGATTTAGCTGAAGTATTCGCAAACCGAAAACACCATGTTATATGATTCTTTTAAGTTTCAAGAATGATGAAACTCCATTAACACTTTGACATGCACAATATTATTTTTATAATTTTTTTAACTAAAAACTGTAGAAATTGAATATTATGATCATAGAGACAAAGAATATATGAATTTAAAAAAATCTACCCTTGCCCATTGTACTGTGGGTGGTGGTCGCACTGTAAGACCACCGCACGTCTAGGACTCTGAAACTTACTGAGGTAGTGGGGGGGGGAACTTACCTTTCTCCGTGCAGATTTCCAATAAATGATGAAATATACAAATTTTAAAAACAATTTATATAAGAATTGCATTATAGTACAAAGTCCATAATCTGGACTTGTTGGGACTTCGATGATTCCGTATTAAGAGTTTTTCCAGATTATAGATAATCAATTTAAATCTGATAAGATGGGATGCAGAAATTATAAAATTAAAAATATGAAACCGTAATTTATGAAATAAAGAGCAATTATGATCTAAAGGGTATCAAAATGTACAAAAAAAAAAGCTTAATATTTATTTGTTTACTTTATTAAATATTTCTTTCAGTGTAAGTTTTTTAAGTTGCTTCATTTTTTGTGCTAAACGTGCATGCATAAAACATTAAACGCACATACGTAAAAACATACCAAAAAAAAAAGTTTGTGGCTTTGAGGTCCAGATTATAGATCATTCCGGATAATGAACGTCCGGATTACAGACTTTGTACTGTATATATATATATATATATTATATATATACTTACATTATTTACAAAGTAAATCTTCAGAAAAATTAAAAAATAACATTTTTATGCAATTTTCTCTAGCAGTGAAAATATAAGTACCTACATAATAAGGACGTTTGGCTAAAATGGATTAAAAAAAACTCATTAAAATAAGGATTTTAAAAAAAAAATTAAAAACCCTACCCTCCCCCCTTTATATATATGTAATAATAAAATTCCGTAGTCAAGAATACACTTAAATTTCTAACTGTATGTTCTTTTCATTTTTAATGGTGACATTCTCTTATTTGAAAATACGTGGAATTAAATCCACAGCCCCGTAGTCAAGTTGTTTTTCCCGCCTTTTCTACACGTACAGTTTTAGAATGTTCTGGAAATATTTAAAGTGAACTGGATTGGCTGACATCATTTCTTGGAAGCTCTGCCTTTCCAGAGGCTATAAAAGGACTTTCAAAAGAATATTGGGGGCTTTTTCTTAAATGTCACGATGCAGTAAACTTCATACAAAAAGTTATTAGTAATTCTTTTTATTTACTCCGGATATCTGATTTTGTAACTGCTATTTCTCCTGAATAATAATAAATAGATCCTTTTTTTTTTTAAACTTATCGTCTGATAATTTAAGCTACGACTAAAGCTGGTACATCACATATATATATATATATATATATATATATATAATAAATTTCAAAGAACAAAGTTTTTTTGTGACACTGTTTAAAGCATGTTTCGTCTTTTTGGTACATACATAGACCCACGTTGCACGTTTCGCACATGTATCTTCTATGAGGTTTCTTCCTTGTGCTACAAAATGTGCACTGCCTGGATCTAAATTTCACTGGTATATGTCCAGCGTTATTTAGTTTCTTTTTGTCTGGCACATGAAATTTGTGGTTTTTTATACTAATGGGGGGGGGCTTGGCCTTTCTGGCTTTGGTATGGATCATTCG